CTGGCATAGACATAAAGTTCCTTGTTGCCAACCTCAGGTTGGATGTTCTCAATTGGTGAAACTTGGAAGACAAGATTGTTAAAAGGAAGTAAAAATGGATATGATGACTCTAGATCGGTGCGGGTATCCAGCATAGTTTCTCGAGTCTAATATTCACCCGAAATCTCCCCCTTAATATCAAAGTTTGAGAGGTAAGATTGGTTTTTAAAGAAGAAATCATCCATGGAGGTATTGTATTTTTTTTTATAATAGAAAAATAACACTTATACCCTTTTTTTTAGAAGCATATCCAAGAAAGATACATTTTATGGATATTGGGTCAAGTTTTCTAAGGTTTGGTTGGTATAAGTGAACAAAAGAGTAACTCAAAATTTTTTTAGGAGAAGGCTCAGACATGAGGGTATTTTTTTCATCACAATATCGAGAGGGGCATTGAATTCAAGGGTATTGTTTGGCATTTTATTAAAGATTTAGGTAGCTATGAGCACAGCACATCCCTATAAAACTTTTGAAACATTTTGAAAAAAACATTATAGACTTAGATACCTGAGGATATAATTATTCTTCCTCTCAGCAATCTCATTTTATTATGGAGTATCAACATAGAAAGCCACATGATGTTATCATTCTTTGCAAGGTAGGATCCAAGAATGCAGTCAAAGTATTCATTTGCATTATCAATTTTGAGAATCTGAATTTTGCATTGAAATTGAGTGCATTGAAATTGAGTGAAAATCATATTATAGCAAGACTGAAAGATTTGTTCAATTTCAGTTTTTTCCTTCATGAAGAATATCTAACTAGTTCTTGTGTGGTCATTAATAAAAAAGATAAACCATCTGACTCTGATGATTATTTTCTATTTCGATGGTCCCCAAATATCATTATGAATGATGGACAAAAGTTGTGAGAATTTGTATTGAGACAGGGGGTAAAAATTACGAGTATATTTAGTCAATTGGCAAATTTCAAACTAACAAAATTCTAGCTTAAATTAATAAAGAGGTGAAGATACAATTTTGCAACATAATGGAAGTTAAGATGACCCAGACGACAATGTCATAACAATTCTTGACTTTCAACCGACTCTGACACAATAGACTTGGAAATATGAGAAGAGAAACGAGAAGAAGATGTTTATGTGTAAAAAAGAATAGATTTTCTTGAGCAAGTATAGACATTAACGCAATTCAGTACTGCTAATTACCTTCCCCGAATCTAACCACTAAAGTTCACAAGAGAATGAAAGTTAGTAACGCAGTTCAAAACATGAGTAAGCTTGTTAATTGAAAGTAAGCTACAATCTTATTAGGCAACATATCGTACAGAATATAGTTGAATATCTTTGGAGACTTTCATTTCTCTTTTCCCAACAACCTAGAGTAAGACCATTGGCAGATCTAACAAGTTGTTGAACTTTTGATAGTTGGTGAGAGCATGAATAAGTCATGTGATCAAAAGTACTTGAATCGATTAACTAGGTCGAAATCTTCCATTATTAAGGAGAACATGAAACCTTGTTGCATCATCAAGCTAGTAGGTAGCTCAGTTATGCTTAAAAGAAGTTGAATACACCTCCAATTATTTTTTGGTGAAGGGCTAGGATTGGCTAACCTTCAGAAAAGGTAGCAGTGTGGGCCTTACTACCCAGGTCATTCCACCCTTGCCCTTGCTCCAATTTCCAATCTGCAGGTTCTCCATATAATTGTTGACACTTATCCTTTGTGTGACCAAGTTTCTTGCAATGTTAACACAAAGGACGATTCATCTTGACTTCGATTCATGGAAGGAGTTGTATTGTGGAGCATTCAATGCTAGAGAATCCACATTTTCTCCCATCATGAGCTTCTTCTGACTTTTTCTCTTCTGACATCAGTAAAGGCTCCCCTAGTGGTAAGGAGAGACTTCATCTCCATAATTCTTCTTCTGATCTCATCTAAATTCATATGTAGACTCAATAGAAACTTGATCATCATCTTCTTCTCCACTATCTTTTTATATAACATAGCATCTTGAGAACATTTTCACACATAAATATCATGTATACATAACTAGTATTATGTATATGTGTTGAAATATTGAGTCACACTTAACTCTTCTTGTCGGAGCTCATGTAATTTTGTTTCAATCTCAAACTATTATGTTGTGTTTCCAGTACCAGAATAAGTCTCAAGTGCAACTTCCCAAATCTCTTGCGTTGTCTTATAAAGCAAGAAAATTTCTTCAATCATTGTGGTTATTGAATTGATCAATCGACCATGTGATACTGGATCTTCCATGAGCGATTGTTAGGATTAGAGGGCTAGAAAACTGTGTCATCTATCGTGAGATGTTCATCTTTCTCTTTGCCACAAATGAATATAAACACGAATTGGGATCCTTGAAGAAAGTTACGGCCATTGAGTTTATGGTTTGTGATAAAGTGAGAGTTAAGGGGTTATTTCGGTAGAATTTTTATCTCTAATTCAAAAATAACCTCATTAGTAGAGCTAGACATGCTCATTTTGTACGTGGTAAAAAGCCCTCCGTGTTTGAGGTGGTTGCTACAAAATAGGACCGGTTACTATTAGAAAAAACAGGAAGGTCGGTTGTCGCTTCTGCAACAAAGGAGCTTGGGAGAGCGGCTGTAGTTGCTGCAGCGGGATGGATCCGGTAGAGGAGAGTCTGTAGTAGGGACAGTTCCATATGTAAGGAGGATCCGACATCATAGAAAAACAGAGGAAGGTTGTTGGTTGGGAAAGGGAGCCAGAGCAAAAGCTGGCAGGGATTTGACCCGCCTGCACAGAAGAAATAATACTCCGGCATTGGGAGAGGCTTCAGACAATGAGGTCTAGCGATCAAACTACATGACAACCAGTTCAAGCGATCCAAAAAAGCGAAAAACCCGGTCAAGCGATCCAAACGAACATGTGAAGCTGACAAGCTCTTCAAGCAAACTATTCAGACCAGCGATCCAGGAGAGCTATCCAGACGAGTAGACGATGCAGTCAAGCCATCCAAATGAAGCTAAAATCCGAATGATGTACACCACCCTAACTTAAGAAGAAAAGAAATATGACATAATAAGAAGGAATAAAAGAGAATAAAACTAAAATAGAAAACTCAAAATTCCATAGATTTCTTGCAAAATGATGCATAAAAGATGGCCATGCGTAGGCTTGCATATTGATTTGTAAAATAACCACAATTAAGGTTTATGAACTCTAGGAATTCCACACCCCCCCCCCCCCCCCCCCCCCCAAACACTTGTTCTCCTCCTGTAGTGGTGAACAATTCACATAAAAAATTCATAACTTATAACTCAACATCCAATTGTCATAAAATAACCACTATTAGTTTCCTAGCATCCCCAAATTCAAATCTAAAGGTCCTAAACCTTCCCAACCAGCCCAAACATAACACAAAAGTTTTAGTCCAAAATTTGTCCATCACTTCTTAACCAATCATCACTTTCCTAGGCTTCCATCAAGCATAATGTGCCACCATTTTCTGTCCAATCCAAGTTCTGCCACTAGCCCCTCATCACTCACCATAACCCAAACCTAACAAACTTTCATATCAGTTCATAGATAATTCTCATTATACTTCCTATTATGAACACCACTAATTATCTATTAACTTTTTCTAATATTATTTAGTCATCCACCGCATGCTCGGAATGTTTTTATTTCCCTCTCTTCTAGTTTTGAATCGATATGTATATTTTTCACCTCATTCTCTTTCTTTTTTGTCCACAACCTCCATGCCCCAACAACTTCCATGTCAGTTGATATCTATTATCCTTATCCTCCTAATTCCCAATTCCACAATTACCTATGAACTTTTTGTGATCTTTTTTCATCATCTGCACACTCTAAGAATGCTTCTCTCATCCCATCTTCATAACATTGTATTTGCATCTTTGTTTTCCCACATCGTATTCTCTTTTCTTATTCTTCTTTGCATCTCCAAATCTCTTTTTTCTTCCCTCCATCTATCTGTTTCTATGTATAAATATACCTCCATCCCACCTTTTATAGAAATAAAAACTCTATTCTAAATGACATTTAAGCACATCCATACCCTGATAATTGGCTCCCCTCAATATACAGTACCCTTTTTTTGTTTGTTATCCCATGTCCATCTTTGAAGATCTCCACACTTCCTTCCCTCCCTATTTCCCTCTCTTTTTTCTCAATAGAAGTAAGCATCCATAAAATCAAATAGATCACAAAACAAAAACGAGAAATATTCTGAAACACTTCAACATGTCAACAATGAGGAAGGGATTCCACACTCATGTTAAAAGAGGGTATATACAAAAAATTTCCCCCGACAAGTCACGCCCTTTCTTTGCTTCTAATATCCCAATTACTTCCATTTAAGACAATTTTTTTCCTTCTAGGAACAATACAGGTTCAAAAGAAGCCCCAAAACAACAACAATAATTTGATTAATTTTCTACTCATTCAATTATAAAATAGTAATACTCCTTCATTTCTTCGATCGTCCTTGAGAACCTCTCAATTGATTTTTTGTTATCCTCCACATGCGAAATAAGTTTGGCAACAAGTGGGCAATTCAAGAATTTTGTTCGATTGTATGATTTTAGGCTATCAAAAGAAGAATTCTACCTTATCCTATGATAATAACATAAAAAAACATATGTACCATGCTTTAAATCGAAAGGGCATGGTTTGACATCTCTCATCCAGTTCAAAAAAAACAAAATGGGAGGAAACCAATGTACAGAAAACGGTTGATTTCAATCTTCATTAAAAACAACCAACGGAACAAGTCTTAAGGATTGTATGGTTACTGCTTTAGCAACTTTAGTAAATCCTGGATTTAAATTTGTCAATTTTTTTTTTTTTCTGCTGGGCAAGTTTAAGGTTATATCCTATTTGTTACCATACAGCCCCATAATGAAACGATCTTTTAACCAGGACAACGAAACGCAGGCCAAAAATTACAGCTAGAAGAGACTTCTACACTAACAAAAACAAGGTAGACAATTATACCTCGTATTCTTCTTCAAAAACTGTAATGTCCGACGAGCTTCCGAGGAGGTCCTTCTCCCTTTTCTCAATCCGGCGCTTGGCTCGCTCCTTCGCCGCGAAATTAGTACCATTCTGGAGATTCGAATCCCCATCGTAACCATCTACAGAACCCAGACGGACTTCCACGTTTGATTTCTTTCCTTTAGGAAACCTCGGCTTCCTCTGCTGCCTGTATTAACTACCAATTGCAAGATTATTAAAGGAAAACGTTCGCCAGAAACCCTACTCTTTCACCTCAATGGACTGCAAAACAAGATCGAGAAGTAGCGCGTACGGAGGATGCTTGTCATCGTCGTCACCGATGAGAGGGCGCTTGAGTCCTCTACCTTCTTCCATTCTTTGAACCAGAGGACGGAGCTTACTTCCGTTCAGCACGTCAACTTTGGAGCGGGTTCAATTTAGCGGTTTTGGGACGGCGCAAATGCGTTCGTGCGTTCGTCCTGGCGATGAATTAAATTAAAAATAATAATAATTACATACCTATATAACATGTCACTAGGGTCATTTATATCTACTTATCTAATAAATTTCTATTTTTACATTTAAATTGTATAATTCATGTATGAAAAACTGTGCTTTACTTTTAAAAAATCGTTAATAATTATATGTTTAATATGGTATGAATGATTTATTTCTTATAAATATAATTATTAAAGTTTAATATTACATAATAATATATGTGATATATATATATATATATATATACACTATATGTAAATGCCTTCCAAAAAGAGCTAAAATTTGTTGCTTTGTCGCAAAAAAAATTTGACTGCATGTCTTCAACCAATTGTCATAACTTTAAAAGTAGATTGATTTTTTTTTTCTAGAAAAAATTATAGATAATAATATTCATTTTAAGTTAAAATATCTCTCATACATCCACGGTTAATTTATTCAGGCTCATTCTGAATAAAAGTGGTTCAAATTGATTTGTATTTAAATTTTAGTTTGAACCTCGCTCAAATGTGATTCAAATTTTGATAAAATTATAGTTTGAACATTCTTTGAACAATTATCAAACAATATTTCATACTATTCATGTAAAGTTCAAGAGAGTTTTCGAACATGATTTTAAACTAATAGAATATGATTTTAAAAAATTATTTTTATTGAAAAATAAGGGTAACGCTTGCGCGTCCACCTACTATCGTAAATTATAATATCTACTCTCTCATTTTTGGAGATGATAATCCAGTGCCCGTCCGAAGTGCATGTTGGTCACTAGTTTAGGAGGTCTCTTTGAAAAATCATGTCTCATCTTGGAAAGTATGAACACAGCTTTAGAAAATGTTTGAATAATAAGGTTTTAACTGTTGACATAGCTCTTTAAAATTATGAATCAAGTTTGAAAATATATGTTCAAGCACTAATCTAATTCAAATTGGCATTTGAGCAAAGTTTGAACCTTCTCGAATTAGGTTTAAAAAGGGTATGATAGTATGTACTACAACAATTTAATCAAAAAAAAAAAAAAAACATATCATCATAATAACATGTATAACAACATTGAGAATAACTAATAAGTAATAATTCTATAATAAATATCTTAATGAAACTATTTACATTATATAGAAAATTGAGGATAGATCATCAACAAAGTGAAGGAATGACTTCTAATATCAAATATATTATGATATTGTAATTTTGATGAAGAAAAGAAGTAAAATTAATCATGAAGAGATGAACACTTGGCTTTACAAATAACTCAAATGATCTTTCACGCCATGATAAATGCACTTACATTACATCACATATTTTTTCTTTGCAGAGATTCTCCTTTCTTATTTGAATGACCATTATTTGACTTCATAACTAGGGAGAGAGCAATAGCATTTTCTTATATATCAAACCTTAGATATGTATTTATTTCCATTTAAATGTATAATTTTGACATATGCATTCAGGCATGCTTCCTCTATATACACTTTTGACTATTGATTCATGCCAAAATATTCAAGGTGGAAGAGTGTTGAATTAATGTCTTAGCATTGCACGAAAGTCCAGCACACACTAGAGTAATTAAAGAAAAGTAAGTATGAGAAGACGCCTCAATTCTTACGTGAAAAGCCATCGAAAGGGTGAAAAACCATTGGGTCTAGCCTGATTGAAATAATCAATTACGAATGGTGAGTACACATGTCCACACTTCTGAATTAGAAAAGATTTACGCATAAAGATGATAATTGTAAATGTACAGTAGTTTATTGATAATAGACATTGCCTGATTGTAATGAAGGTAATTATCATTGATAGCAAGTTGTAAGGGTCGTAGTCAATTGTTATGAAGACAGTAATCTTGTGAATATTGTGGATGGTGGATGTAGTGTCAATTTTTTGTATAAGAATAAGTTTAAATTAGTTGGTTGTATGAGTTGCTAATTGTTACTTTAGGAGCATTAGTTGGCTATAAATGTCAGAGTTGGAGGATACATAAGTTGTGAGTCACATAGATCATAGTTTGTCACGTTGGTCATAGTCGCGAGCTGTGATGACGTACATATGTCGCAGAGGCTGGTTTTGGGAACTACATGAGTTGTAGATCACATAAGTCATAGTTGATCACATAGGTCGTAGCGATGATGTTCATAGGTTGTAGAGGTCAGAGTTGAGAGCTACATGAGTTGTGGACCACGTAGGTTGTAGTTAGTCACATAGACCATAGTGGCAAGCTATGAAGATGTTTGTATGCAACAGAGACTGGAGTCAAAAGTTGCAGGAGTAGTGGACCATGTAAGTTGTAGTTGGTCACATAGGTTGTAGTGATGAACTATAAAGATACTTATAAATTGCAGAGGTCGATGTCAGAAACTATATAATTTGTGGACCATGTAAGTCATAAATAAGCCATAGTAGTGGGTTGTGATGATATTAGTAGGTCGTGAGGGCCAAAAATAGGAGCTGTGTGTGTATGGACCACATATGTCATATTTGGTCATGTAGAACACAGTGATGAGCTATAATGAAAGAGCATTTTAAGAGTTTGGAGAAAATCACCATCTACGGGGTGCATTATTACACAGTATTTGAGATGCATTATCGCATCATATGTAGGGTGTGTTGTTACGCCGTCATCAAGCTGTATTGTCACACTGTATTTAGAATGCATTATTGCATTGTATGTGAGGTGTGGTGTTACACCATCATTGAAATGTGTTATCACACCATATTTGAGGTGCATTATTACACCATTTTTTTATGCGTCATTATATTGTATATAGAGTGTGGTGTTCTATAGAATGTCCCATTAGTCAATAATGTTTGTCGAAATTTTGTATCGTACAACGTGATTCCAGATGAAGTTTTATTGCAATGAGTTGGGGCGGCCGATGGACGGTGTTCAATAGTGTTCAAGGCTGCATAAGTCGGAGACATCCATTGGATTTATAGTGCAAAAAAGATGTTAGACTTTGGTTCCTCCTTCAAGCTTTAGTCTTCTTTTGGCTCAAGATCTCCCCCCCTACCATATCAAGAAGAGGGTAGGGTTCTATTTATGGAGTCTGGAAGAGGTCTCACTGTAAATAAGAAAGGAATTCAAACCACTTTATCAAACGACCCAAAAAAATCTCTTGATCGGATGATGTTTGAAGAACATGAGTGCCTTAATGATGTTAGAATTGAGTGATATTGAGCTCATTGGATTTGTCTTACCCAGATACTTAACTTGAATAAAAGCTTGTAAGATTTAAAATTCATTTAACCTTTCAATTATGCAATGAAATCTTTCAAAAGAACAACTTGATCTGGGCTTAATTTGACTTGGAATGGTCATCCCCGACATAATGTGTGTAATCTTAGTGTGTAATTACTTCAATTTCAATCTTAAAAGACGACACCAAAAACGTGATGCAGGAACGGTAGTGCACTGTTTAATTTATATATCAAATAATTCTCTTTTTCTTTTCACAATTTAATTTTATACACTAGAGATACTATGCCAGTGCACATATCGTTTCAAGTAATATATGACTTTATTTTTAAGCCTCAAGTATTGATCCCACCGTGAAAATGAAAACTCTTTTTTGAATTTAGTAAAACTCTATTTAAACTCCAAACAATTATCTAGGAAATAAGGTCGCAAGTTTATGTGTGAAAAAAAGTAACTAATTCCTACAAATCCTAATTCAAACCTTGAAAAGAAGTAACTAATTCCTACAAATCCTAATTCAAACCTTAGAGAAAATGTTAAGTATTTTTAAACTAGTTAAACTGAAAAGAGTTCAGAAGTCTTTCCCCTTGCAATGAGATCATCACCAGTGTATGAATCAAATGTTTAAAGGTTTAAACGAAGTTTTGTGACAAATAGAAACAATTCTATTCTTTACTCTCTTCCGGGTGCATAAAGAACATTGGCTAACCAAGAGTTAAGTTCCTAAATCTGAGGTTATGTTGGGTAGGTTCTAACCGCTCACTTCTAGATTACCCACTATAGGAATCAAATTATGTAAAATTCTTTCCCCTTGCAATGAGATCATCATCAGTGTAGGAATCAAATGTTTGAAGGTTTAAATGAAGTTTTGTGACAAATAAGAGCAAACATATTATTTACCCTCTTTCGAGTGTATAAAAAACATTGATTAATCTAGAGTTCAGTCCCTAAATCTAAGGTTATGTTGGGTAAGTTATAGCCTCTCACTTCAAGGTTACCCATTGTGCCCTCTCTTTAAGACTAACCAATCATTAAGTTCCAAACTCTATATCAAATTGGTTAAGGTTCCAACCTGTTACCCTAGAATCACCAATTTACACCCCATCAAACCTTATCACTTTATCTATTTTCATTAACCATTATATGCCTTATTACCCACCTTATTAATGTGATTCTTACTAGTTGAGGAATACATAGCTCTCCCAGATCATTATGACTTAAAAACAAGTTTTAACATACCAATTGGTCAAATTGAATATGTAAATTAAGTACGGAATAATGAATAATCACAAATATGAAATAAGAGAAATCTTAAACAATTCTAATCCTACACTATATTAATTCTTATTGCAATGAGAAATATTAAGAAAACTACTCAGATCTCATGGGGATAACAAAATAAAAAAAAAGATTTATATTAAAATTCAGGTTCACACAATAACCAAAACTAAAAAAAAATACAAAGTACTTATCTTAAACTTCTTCTCAAGCAAATCATCTAAAGTTCTTTTGAGGATTTCTTAACTCTCCTTACAATTTCACTCCAAGACACACACACACACACACACCACACAACACACACTCTCCTCTTTTACCCTTCACAAATACTCGCCACAGTTGGGCGCCTAGGCGCAAACCTTTTAGAAGCCCGGTGTAACTACCCGACGCCTAGGCGCCAATTCATTTTGTGCTTCATTGCTCCAATTAACCCCCATGTTGTTCCAATTTCGTTTCTTTTTTCTCTAAAATTTCATCTTTTGTATCTACAACCAAAAACAAGCAAAATATCTTTC